CTATATCAAAATCTTTTCACTGCAATCCCTGTATCCAGTATGCTATCAAAGTTTGTCACCCTAATCGCCGCCTTTCAAAGTTTTCATGGTAAAAAGAGTCGAATGAATTCATGGCCCGTTTTACGAAAATAGCCATAAATGTAAAGAAGATATTCTCAGCCCCAAATCGATGCCGCAAATTAACCCTTTACACCCTAATATCAGTATGCATATTCTCCAAACTGTTCTCTATACATTTCTTAAGGTTCTGACAAGGAGAATTTGTTTAGCAATCAAGAACTTCTTTAGCTGCTGATCATTTCCTTTATTCTCATGACCTTAATGTGTGATTCAAGGGCGATACTTAAGGGAGAAATTAGGTGCTGGTCAAAGGTTCAAGGTTTGATAAACTCAGTTATATTTTTTATCATAAACTAAGCTAAGAAATCTAGTGTCTAATATGGTCAAGTCTACGTATCATTAAAAATGATCGCTGATTTGATCATCACAATTTTATCTGTAAGTGAATATTACTATCGACAAATTCAGATTTAGAATCACGCACTGCTACCATGTATAACAAAGCAATGAAAACAAAGATCGCTTATGGACTTTCGAATTAACAACCATTAACATATTCTTAAGTGCAACAGTAATTATGTTTGTAAAGGACACTAGAAAATCGTTCATAACTTTTCCTTTGCGAATACATATCATTTGAACAAACATTAAACTAGAGTTAAATTTAAGCACTAGAAACTCGTGTTGATAGAATGCGATTATTTGTCTGCCCTATTTGGACTTTTTTTCAGAATGGCAATCGGAATGAAATTTCAATAATCGAGTATAATGACAAGCCAAACATGACGTAATTGATAATTCCAATTCATGACACTTCTTTGAGGTGAGACAAAAGATTCCCGCTCTCAGTGAGTCCAAAACAGTACAACGAGTTAGTTTAGGGCGCAAAACACGAAACCACCCAAAGTCAAGGTTTTGGACGACAAAATTTCATTTAGAGCCTCGAGAATGAAAATTAAACATAAAAACTCCGTGTCTTTCTAGATAAGTATGAAACTAATCTTATAATTCAGTAAAATTTTCTCTCGTGATGTTGTTCTGTGACGTCCTTCTCCGATACCTTGTTGCCAATGGATACGTGATCTCGTGAGATTTTGATCGAGTTTCGTGATTTGTTTTTATTGTTATGGACCTATAAAGAGCGGCACATTTCCCGGAGCTTATAAAAATTCAACGATTGATCCAGCCCCAGTGAGACAAGCGTGAAACATCAACCGTAAGCTTGAAACACCATAACTAACTTTGAGCACCAAATCAACTCTAGAAGGATAAATCATCAGGTAAGTTTGGTTCGAACACTACTCTAACTCGACTTTTCACTCAAGTATCCAAATTCAGACGCTTAACGAGCCATTTCTACAATATATCTTCGATTAAATGTTCTCCTGACTCTTTCCTCAAATCTGAGGAATCTTGAAATTCGATTATCTGCAATTACGTTTTCGATACAAAAAATACAACAGTTAAACATGCCTCAAGGGGTTAGGGTCGAAAAACGATCTCTTTAGATATAACGTGATTGGAAGGCTAAACTTAAACATAACAGGGAAATTTTAAGACCCACTTAAGCGAACGGAACTCAACAAAATTTCATTTTCGCTCGGTACCTTCGGTCATTTTGCAATATCGTAAAAATATTTGCATTTGCGGTAAATCGTTCATTGCTTGATTTATCTCTTCGATGTATTTGAGGATTAGAAAAAAGTAGGCGGAATCAGGGATAAATCTAATCGTGTTTTTAGTAAACTTTTCTTAACCTACCTCATTTAATCACAACATGTATTGAAACATTTTAACCTCTGATAACTCTAACTCTTGCAGGAGATTTACGCCCGGGAGAGCTTGAAGTTCGAATTACTGGAAATTCTGACGATGGACGGGAAACATTGCAACTCAAGTCGCACCGCGCCAGTCGCTCTAGTTACAAAGACAAACGATAAACACACCATGGAGGTGATTAAATCTGTTGCCAACAAGCTGGCTATGATCGGAGACGAACTGAATCATTCATACCAAAAATTCTCGTGCAGTGGAGTTTCTTTGGCTGGACCAAATTCATGCGGGCAATCGGAGAGTTGGTTGAAAATTGCGCTTTTTATACTGAGAGCTAGTGTCTGAAAGTCAAAGCAAACAGAGGGCGAGTTGGAAAAGCACGCCGCAAATGAAATATTTTAAGAGGGCCAGATCCCACGTAAAAAAGAGTTGGACAGATGTTTGACAATTACAATATCAGAAATGCAAGGAAAAATGCCTTGTAAAGGAGAGTTAACAACGATAGTCATCTTAAAAGGGATAAGCTTAAATGCATAGTATGTTTGTGAAAAAGCCAAGCCCTGTTCTAATCGCTTTAATGGACGAAATTCGGTAGGAGATACCTCACAAATGGTAAAAAAATTCAGAAATGCGAATAATAAATAGTTTTTTGTTTTGTTTTGTTTTTTTGCAAAGTCGTGAGCTAAACGCTATGACAATAATAAAGAATTATTGTTATTAAAAATGCAATCATTTGTTATCTGAAAACTCTACAAATTTGTTGAATTTATCCTTCGCCTTTAGCACAAGAATACCATCGAGTTAATAGAAAGCAATTTAGTCTGTTTACGTAACTAAATAATTATAAGATTTCTGGTAGACTCACGGAAGAGACATAATTGGCACCGCTGAAAAAGATGCGGTGTAAACCGTTCTTTTTATAATCACAAAAATCACAAAATAACAAAAATTCTCGCTTACTCTCTGGATAAATAGCTTCATCACCGATACGAAAACTTGGAATTTGCAGTGAAAACATTCTTATTAAGAAAACTTGGTCTATGACCGATGAGATCAATCTAGATTAGTTTAGAATCTGAAAACGCATCACATCCAAAACTAAGACAATTTGCATATCCATGCGTCACCATACAGCTGAAAACAACTTCTTTGAAAAAGTGTTAAGTGCAAAATATAACAATGGGGTGGAAAAGAAAGACCCATCCAATAGGAAAACACCTCTTTCAAACTACATCCATAATTGCTCCTTACAAATTCGTATCAAGGACTTTTTTCCTCTACCTTGGAGTAAATAAAGAATTCCCATAGCTACGCGTTTTTACGGTGCCCTTACATGTTCCGTCGAAGCTTGACTTAAAATCCCGTTAACTAGAAATATTTGTGCCATGCGAAGTCCTGTAAGAGAGATTGTTTTTTATTTTACTCTTCTGATTCATAAATATATTAGAAAAAATACATCGACAAAAGAGTTAACTTTTCAAAAGCTTTAATTCACACTTACGTACAACATAATTGAACAATATTGACTCACGAAAAACGAACCGATGCGTTAGCTGAAAATTCTAAATTTTATGTCCTTTATTTGGCTTAAATATTCAAGGGAGATGTTAGAAGGTTTTCTGAACTTTTTATCTGAAAGGCAAGCTATAGGCGCTTTGAACATTTTTCATGATCAAAGAGTACAAAAAGAAACTAATTTTCTTGAGTGTTGAATAGCAAACAGTCCATTCAATGACTTAACATCTGTGAAGAAACCGCTTTGTAATTGTCATAGACTCGCACGAAACATGCAGTGGTAACGAAAAGAATCTCGTTCCGTTAACGTTTTAGTCAAGAATGAAAAGTGGTGACTCTTCGTCTGGATATTGAGAGTTTGACGCACACAGAAAGAAAAAAGACTCATATGCTCAATGGAAAATGTCTGTTACCATGACAGCATTTTATCTCTGAATCGGTTTCAGATCGAGCACGGACACAAAAAGCTCTCCTTTTGGACATTTCAATTAAAAAAATTAGCATAATGATGCAAGTTTGCGAGAAATGTTTGGTCAATCCTTGTTATCTTTTGCAGGGAACAGTCTTCTTAGTTAGAATTTGTTATTTATTCAAAAAATGAAACTTGCTATAATTAAACATAAGAAAGTAATTGTTATCCTCAGTTTTAAGGCTTAATCTTAAGTCAAAAAAATTTTTAAAAAAATGTTTAAAATATCATCTCAAGATTTTACATCAACCTGAAATCTTGGAACATGGCGTGTTAGTAAGGAGAAGGAATTTAAGGAAAATGTTCTGTTACCTAAATTTATCAATTTAAGCACTTGTCAAGCGCAAGAAATTATTTCCATTGGAAATCTAATGCAGATTAGTGTCAGTATAATTTTTTTTCACGATCCGAAGGCTTGCCCTTGATTTATGCCCTATGTTTCGGGCATAAAAATATTGATGTCTGGCCACTATAATGCGGGAAAACTAGAAACGAAACACCATCTTATTACCACCACTTCGTCCTGAAATATTTCAAGAGCACATTCTATGGGGGGGAGGGGGGGCAGGATCCAGAAGGAAAATTCGCTACTCTAGGAACCCTTAAGGCGCTTTATAATCTCTTTCCTCTGGAAAACGCAGTTTTGCGCGATCGCTAAAGCTGTGTTAGTTTTCTCAATAAGCTAAACTGGAGAAAAATGATATGCCCGGAAGTCTGTCTTCCACGCAAACACAGAGTGTACGCGCGCGTCTTCACGATCACGAGCGGCGAACACGAGCTAAGTCAGAGCATGTATTTCACATTGTGACAAAGCACTATTGGCTTATAAAGGTGTCCAAGTTAGTAGTCTGCAAATGAGTGGTTCGTAAAACAATAATGGAAAGGCTTTGAGTAATAGTAGAACAGGGGGGAAGGGGGGGAGGGGTAGGTAGGGCGAGTGGATGAGGAAAACGCATCTACAGCCTTTATTTCAAGTCAGGCTCCTAAAGTGGTGCTCATTACAGGGCTTGTTTTTTTTTCCGTACCCACTTCCCCACCTCCACCAAATTTCCTTCCACCACCGTTCTGGAGACAACGGTCAGAAGGCGTTTTAAAAAGGACTCGTCTCCATTTCCTGCCTTTTTTAATCAAACATCGAAAAAAGTGATACTAAGATAAACAAAAAAAACAAGGAAAAAGTGCATTCTATCTAGTGCCAGAGGCTTTTAACCTCATGCTGGTAACAGATTAAGTTTTTTTAACTGTAAGAAAATATGTTCTCAGAAAAAATATTGATTATTCCACACAGGTCTAAATTTCTCGAACAACTCTTCTAATAGCTGAGCTGTACCGTCAATATAAAAATAAAAACAAAATGCGTTTCATCTGCCCTTTTTCAGCAATTCATTCTTCTTTCCCTTAATTGATTTGCAACAAAAGAATATCCACGTATCTCCAAAATAAACGCCAACGTTCACACAGCAAGTGCTATAAGTAGCATGGATCCAAAATGGATGTTACTGGCTCCTCTAGACAACTCCATACGCCACTCCTGGTCTCATAAATTCTGATGAAGTCAAGATAACGTAATTATCACGTGTCAAACCTGATAAAGGCTTGTCGCTGGACAATAAGATCGCTCCCCTCTTTTCTCCTTTAAACGGTGACCAAGCGATTAGCGTGAATAATCATTTTAGCTCCTTTACCTCGTACATTTGGAGAGGACTGCTGTTTACACTCACTTCATGTTCAGAATGCAGAGAATGTTCACACCGGACATTCCCAAGTTTACTCGCCTGAAAAAGCACAAGAGTCCATAAATTTGCGTTGCAATGGACTCAGAAGGGCTGAATTAAGTTGGAGCGCTTTTCAAGTGAGTTCCGTAAAACCAAAACCAGAGCCAATCAAAAGAAAAGAAAATACCTTTGATAGCCAATGCGAACTTTAAGTAAAAACAACCAAACTGCCAAAAGCGCGGGAAAACGCGGGCAACTTCGTCGCGATTGATGTTAGCTTTAAATCTAATTGGTTGAGAAAGTGGCACGTGTTTTCTGGACCAATCACGAAACGAAATAAAGAAAACCCAAAACAATTCCAGATTAATTTCGATACTCAATTGAAAATGGCTTCACATGCAAGTAAAGTTGAGTCTAAAACTTCATGCGACAACTCATGCATGAACACATTCAATTCTGTTAGGTTCCCCAACAGTTTACTAGTATGTATTTATTTACCTGACAAATGGAGGGACTATGAAACCATAGCGAATTCAGCAAAGGCTTAAAAAAAGAGAAAACATCAGGATTTAAACAGAAAGTGGTTCAACTAACCCCAGCATTCCATACTGCTTGGTTTTCACGTGATGAAGGAAGAAGACGATGGTGTGAAACAAGTTGTTCTGTCCCTGAAAGAAAAGCAATAAAGTTAATTAATATCGTAGTGTCCTTATGTTTCAGCGCATTCGAATTTGGGATTGTTTGTCGCAAATCATGCATAATCGCAACGAACAACCAGAACGAAAGAAAATGTCACAAACAGACAATGAGTACTCAGACTTAACACAGAAAACTGCCTGAACGGACGTGACCAGGTCGCAATTGGTGTGGTCTTGAATCTGATTGGTTGAGGTGGCACAAGTTTTAAGGACCAATCACAAGGCAAAGGAAAGCATTATTCCGAATTATGCTTGATATTCGAATGATATTTTACTATTTGGGTGTGGCTTTAGAACCCGTATGATGTAAGGCTAAATCTGAAGTAGAAATGAATCCACTGAAATCTCACAAAACAAACACTGGCCATCCAACTCCCAAGGTAACGAGTTAATTATCCTTACTGTTTGCTATACGGTGCAATAATTTGGAGAATTTTAATGTAAACTCGCACAATATCCCCTGTTTGGTGTTCTTCTCTCTCCTAATCAACTGTCTGCTTGAATCATTGTAAGGGAAAATTTCTCCATAGTCCCTTATAGGAAGAGAGAGTTAACCCTTTACCTCCAATGGGTGACTAAGAGAGGATTTCTCCTTACAATATCAATACAATACCAAGCATAGAAGTGATGAGAATAAAGAAAAATACAACTAGGGGATTATTACTTGATCCAATACCAAATTCTCCAAATTGACATCATAAGAACTGTATGGCAGACAGTAAGGAGAATTACTAACGAGATCTTGGGAGTTAGAGGGTTAAGCACCATTTGTATGGACAACATACCTTGGGCATATCGTAGACTTCATCTTCAATGATAACCTAAGAAAAAGACAAAAGAAAGTTTTAAAATATTAATTACTTTGTTAAAGTTTAGCTAATGAATCAGTAATAATCTCGTTTTCACTGCTTTTAACAAAGTTTGATTGAGACCTAAACTGTGATCGGCCGCATGATAATTTGATGGATCACTAAGTTATGGTAATCAGTTGTAAATGTTCTCATCAGCTCACTGAAGCAGTGCAATCTATGTTCACATACTCGATGTACAGGAGGTTAAAAAAAAAGGGGGGGGGGAGATCAACACCAACATCCGTATGAAAATTTACGGAGGGAGCCAAGAGAATTTGTTCTAGAATGAAAATACGTTTCCATACCACATGACAGGTCACATGAAGTTGCGCTTAACGACCCCGTCACCTAAAGTAGTGCATCAGCCGTTTTTCTGGTCCTCAGCCTTATTTTACCTGTTCAAGTTATTTGATTCGTTTGTTAGCTACCTTGAAATGTGGCGGATGAAGACGAGACTGATAGATACACAAGTCACTCTTTCGCGCATCTGTAACACAAACAACAACGCATAAGCAGACCAAACTTCAACTTCAATTTCGCAAACTCAACCAGATAACCACAGAAGCCACCAGCTTACTTGGTTTGTCTGGAGTCTTGAGGAAATGAAGCCCGGTGAAGGTCCTTCCATCCGGGAACGTGGGGTCTGCAGGCAGGCGGGAATCCATATATGTACAGAACATGTGAAGAAGTAACTAGGAGAGAGAGTTGGGTATTAACCCGTTACACGCTAAGATCAGTATGCATATTCTCTATACTGTTTTCTATACATTTCCGCAAGTGCTTACGAGGAGATTTTGCCTAATAATCAAGAGCTCCTGTACTTGTTGATCAGTTTCATTATTCTCATGACCTAAATGTTTGATTCAAGGGTGATATTGTAAGGAGAAATTAGATGCTAGTCACTCTTAGGGATTAAAATGCTCAAATTGAAGACGCGATATTTGCGTTACGGTAACAGTTAGTTTCGAAACACACTTGATACAGGTCCCACAGCCCACAGACCCAGATGGTTCAGTTCTCAAAAAGCGGATAAAACCAAGACATTACAGTATAACCTGAACATCAGATGGTAGATAAATTTTGGCCGGCTACGTGCCAATTTACCCCGAAAAATATTAGAGGAAATGAAATATTATTTAACTATTGTCCTAAAATTTATGACAGAAAAAAAAATTCAGTGATACGTTCAGAGACACTTGTCGAAGGATGCAAAGGTTGGGAAAGGAAAGCTTACGAATTTCCTGGGCACAAAGTTTACTCAATAGCTGTTGATTCGCTATTTTTCTTGAGCTTTACTAAACGCGTTTTTAGACACCCCGACTTACTAGCCTCTTCTCCTGTGAGACATTTTGCTTACGGAAACCTGAAAACACGATGTCGTGTAGCTATTTTGGCCGCCTCTTAGCCGTTTCAACTTCGCAAAGGCACACACATTTTACCGCTATGTAAGAGGTGGCCAGCAAAAATTGGTCCACATATACATGTGCGACCTTTCTCTGTCTATCTGTTTCCACAGATGGGAATTTTTCTACTTTACAAACCTGCGAATCGGCTAATAAGTCTTGTTCCCACGATTTGCCTCTGTACTGCCCGCCGCAATTCCATCGGTATAGACCCATACAACCACCTTGTGCTAGTTCTGAAAAAATACAGCAACAAGCATGATAACTACAGACTTTACTAAAATAGCTGACAAAAAAGACCTTTCAACATTAAACTGCACAGGATATTTATGCTGGCATCCAAATATGGACATCATAAAGCGCAATGCACTCGCGTTTTCCCGCGGTTTTTTTCCTTGAATTTTCATTGGCTCGTTGAGTTATTCTCCGTTGTTCTGATTGGTCATTGTCGATACTTGCGATTGGTTTTACGGCAATCAATCAAAAATAGCTAGATGGTATAAGGAGCCGCTAAAACAAACCTGACAGGCGTTTCACGAGGTATTCCTGATTATTCGAAGCTTCTAAATATGGAATGATGGCCCGTAACGTTGGAGCCTGGTCGGCTTTAGTAACAGCTACTTGTCTGGCTGCGCTGAGACTGATTGCTGAGGAAAATTCAAGAAAGTAAAAATTCAAGTGTTACTGTTTGTTACTGCAAAATTTCTAGAGCTTAGAAGATCGGATCGAGGTCAGTACCTGAGTAACTACGCGCCTACCCCTCCCCTAACCCAATATTAACCCTAAATTGTGATCAGTTGACTGTTGTCGAGCTGAGGGAGGGGTAGGTGCGAATAACGCTCCCTAATTTATCATGTCCGGTTTATAAATTTACATTTGGTCCTGAAGATCGATGTATTTGTTTAGTTTTTTACATGAAGCTGCAGAGTGCCCCCTTAAACACGGAAGGACCTCAGAGAGAGGAATGCTGAAGCACAATGGTGGATTACTCACTTCCAACTTGAAGTTCTGAGCAGCCAATTCTACAGAGAGTCTCATTAACGGCTTCAATCTGCTCCACAAGCCGACACAGTATCGTTTGACAAAGCCACTGAGAAGAACAAAGTAAATTTTTTTTGGGAACAGCAGATAAAGAAAGGAACATGGAAAACAACTAATGATAAATAGAAAGCAACGGTTTGGACTTGGCGAAAAAACAGCTAATTGTCTGAACGCGCCACTTTGTTTCAAGTGATGCATGAACCATAATCTTCCCCCCAGTGTTTTATTTTCTGTCGACCTCTTTTTCAGGCATAAAAGGACTACGAATATTATGGGCATAGTTGCTGGAAACCCTTGAGTCCATTATATAAAAACTGTATTGTTTTATTCTGTTTTAATATGCCTTTTTAGAGAACAATCGTGCGACCGTATCGAGCCGCCCTGTTTGTTTTGCTTGCGATGTTCGCGTCCAGATCTCACATGGTTAAAAACTCACAAATTCATGATAACACAACAGAAGAAACAGAAATGAGAAGGCAAAGACAACTATAACCGTTGTATGACCTGATGGACGGAAAACGGCGGAAATTCAACCGTAAATGGTGTTGACTATATATCAACTTAAAAGTAAACGAAAAAATTCAGCGGTGAAACTCAGAAAAAGATCCCAACCAGAGAAAAAGTATGCAAAGACAATCCAGGAGAATGTAAATAACACTGTGCAAAAAAAATGAACGCGAAAACAATTCACAAAATGTCCATGCAAAATAAAACATAAAATGTAACGAGTAAAACTGAGTAGATGCATTTCTTTAAGAATACGGACTCCTGGCATCAGGCTTTATTGTTAAACCTCAAACTCCCAGAAGTCATTAACATGTAATTTCTCCCAAAAATGTTCATTCATAATCCAACAAACAGGTAATAAGAATACACAAAATAATAAGGCAGAAGATGTTATCTTGATCTAAGACTAAATTATCATTAATAATTAATTAATAATTAATTTTCATTAATAATTAATTAATAATTAATTTTCATTAATAATTAATTAATTATTAATTCTCATTAATTAACAAGGTAATTTGCAGTAGCAAGAGGGGAGAATTAACAATCAGATCTAAGGAGTTGGAGGGATAATGTCTACCTTTCTGCAGTTCTCAATCCAGTGATCCAGATCTGTTCTTGTCACAGCATATTGGGTCCAAATCTGAGATCAGAAAAATGTGAGTTTAAAATGAAAAGAAAAGGCATACTTTTGTTACATGAAACAACATGAAACTGAAGCATTTGTTTGTTGCTTGCATTCAGCAGTGTCATAGATACAATTTTCTAATGGGGGGAAGGGGAGGGTAGGGAAATATTACTATTCTCTTGAAAGAATTAAAAGTGATAAGAATTGTTCTAAGAAATAGGTACATTCATAAACTGTTCATTAAATCGTCCAAATTTGAAGTACCAAGAAAACAATGGAAGCTTTGATTTCTTAGGAGATAATTCAATAAATTCAATGGTTCAATCGAGACCATGTGCAATGTACCTCATCAGCTTTGGTGCTATTATAGCCTGCATCATCGTCATCCCTTGAAGAGCTGAGATCGGGTGACCTGTGATGATAAAAATACATTAGATATGATGAAAAATTGTCCACATTGTCCTTGTCATAACAAAACAGTGGTGAGACTACAGGTGATACAAATATGAAGCATGTTCAACAGGGTGCAGTAAACTTTGTACTTGAGTCTCAGTGACCTACAGTGGGACATGCAGGGACACAAAGCACAAAGATTGGATCTACAAATCTTGGGTTTGCCATGCTAGACTGCACAGTGAGGATACCAAGATGGCACCCCTTGGAAAACTACTGAGTCTAAACACACCTTCTTGCAATCCTGTATACACTAAGTGGGGGAGTAAAGTCATGTCGGTAGCCAGACCAGAAAGATTGTCCACGCCCTGGTGTAAGGGCATCTGATGAGGCAACTAGTTCACAAGAAAAAATTCAAAAGAAAAATGTCAACTCTTTTTATCTTAAAGAGATTAGCATACAAATTCTCTTCATTGTGTTAAAACAAAGTCAAGCACTCAGGTATTGAGAATGATGAAAATTATCACGTAAGAATGCATTTACCTCTATGTAATCTTCCCTCTTCTTGTTGTTGTTCTCTGAGATACTGCTCAAGTGAGTTTAAATCTGTCATGTGATCACTGGAGGGAACTAATAAAAACCACATTTAATTCAAATTAACTGAAACTAAATTAGAGCAATTTTCAGTTTTGTCAAAAGAACTCTGGGATTGCATTGGTTTCAATTTCCTTTGCCCTGTGATTGGTCTAGAAAACTCCCACCACTCTCTAAACCAATCCGATGCAAAACTAAAATCAATTACAACTTGGTCACCCACTTTTTTCTGTGTTTTAGGCAATTTGGTGGTTTTTACTTTGAGTTCCCATTGGCTCTAAGAGGTACCTTCCCTTCATCTGATTGGCTTTTGTGATTACTTTCAATTGGTTTGGGTCTTATGACAGTCAAACAGAAAGTGCTTTACATGTACACACAATCAGGCAGCAAATTTTTCACAACCAGCTTGATACTCATGAATAAAGGGGTAAGCTTCCAAAAAAATTGTGGTGCTGCATTGGTGGGAGAGTATAAAAGGGTAATTTGGTATTATCAACTAAGTTGATAATGTGAATTGGCCACCATAAAGTATTTAAAAGCTGACGTTGCGAGCATTAGCCCTTTGTCAGAGTGAATTGATACTCACATGGTGACCGGCCTGGGGATGAGTGCCTTGACCTTCAATAAGAACAAAAACAAATTTATTTCATTTTAATTCATAAGATCATTATTTTCACTTCGTTGTCACCACTGATGCCCCCTTAAGTCTTACATTACTGAATCCCTGATGCAAGTCCCTGACAGTCTGCAATATTCAATAGTCTACACATTAACAGAGTCACAAACCTTGTATCAGGACTGCTCACTGTCTCATTGTAAAATGATGGTGTACCCATTATGGGGGATCTTGGTGAGCTACTGTTAGACTGAAAGACAATCATTGCATCTTGTTCAACAGTATATTCAACAAAACAACACCTGCATTTAGTTTTATCATATGACCCCATATGGCTCTGCCTGCCTTCTTGTTGAAAAGCATTATACAAAACTCCTCTTGCATAAGCATCCTCTACTAATTGCTATATCTAAAAGACCTCCCCCCCCCCCTCCTTTGGTCAATGGAAGGGTGGGTGATGTTTTCCATTGGACAATTCTCTATGCAGAGGGTAGCCTAGTATCTTACCTCAACACTTATATACTAGATAGCGACTGGGCCCTGTAGCAAGTGACAGGGAAAAAATCTTGACTTTCCTAAACCATATATGTCACAGAAATATTTTTTCAGCATCCTTACCCTTGGTGGGGTTCCATGAGGCCGAGGTGGCGTCCTGGTGATGGTTGTAGTCATAATCATGGTGGGGGAGGAAGTGTTGGGGATAATGGAAGGAGAGACAGCAGATCCATGACTAGTAGGAGATTCAGGTGGGGCCAGCTTGAATCCTGAGTCTATTGAGTTAAAACTTGATTGAATTATTGAATGGACCCAACTCCAAAGTGGCAGTTAAAAATCAAAATCCCATGAGGATAAAAGTTTCCACATCAAGAAATTTATAGTGGCATCCAATCCTGCATCCTTTGGTTCAAAATCTTATATAGTTTTATTGGAACAAATGCTGTTTCTGAGGAAAAACCTTCAATAAGAATCTGGGTAATTTTTTTACCATCTGCTTGATTTGGGTATAAAAAATAAGTACTGCTAACACTAAAATAGGCCTTGAGAGGGCATGGGGGGGCCCTATCAATTTCCCTGAGGCTTATTACAGGTTATTACAAGGGGCTCATTAGAGAAGAAAGGTTGTAGCAGATAGGTGGCTTATTAAAGAGGGGGCTGAACAGGGGGGACTTCACTCAAAGAGAAGGAGCTCATTAGCGATGAGGGACTTTTTATACGAGTGGCTTATTGGGGAGGGGGCTATTTTTTATCTTTTTTTTTTGGGGGGGGGGGGGCCTTGTAAGCTATGGCCTAGTTGTTCAAAGGCCAATCGGCACTAACCCAAGGTTAAATTTTAATCCTGGATTCTTCATGTACTTGTTCAAAAGCCTTTTTAGGATAATTCTAGTTAGAGCATCCAATAACCAATTTGTAGACAAAAAGAATTATATTTATTTTTCTTTTAAAGTCTCAGATCTAATTTCAGATTTCACACTTACTCTGGGTTTCTTAACCCAGCTTTGAACAACATGGTTCTGGGGATCTCAATGGTTGGAAGGAGGGGCCTATAAGAGAGTGGTTTCTTAACCCTTTACAGCTGAACATCAGTATCCATAATCTCCCTACTGTTCTCTTTACATAGCCTAAGGTACTGATAAGGAGAATTTGTGTAACAATCAAGAACTTCTTTAACTGGTGATCATTTCCTTTATTCTCATGACCTTAATGTTTGACTAAGGGGTGATACTGTATGGAGAAATTAAGTGTAAGTAACAGTTAGGGGTTAAAGGGAACCCTGGCTAATACATGAGAGAAGGACTTAAAAGAGTTTTATTAAATACTTCCAAACATTCATTTGTACAATATGGAACAATTTCAGATCATCACCTATCTGATAATATGAGTTGTGTTGAGATTTTCAAACTGAAAAAATTTTTTCATGATCATGCATTTTCTCTTTGCCTGGCTTATGTTTTTTCTTTTTTTTATCATTTATTTCTTTTTCTTTTCCAATCACTGAAGAATTGTTTGTTTTGTTTACATAGCCTGATGTTTTTATCATTTATTTCGTGTTTTTCAAGTTTTTCCAATCACATAGCTTTTATAAAATAACTAATACAAATCAAGTCCACGTGTACTATTTGAATTAATTTATAAATAGCAATGTAATACAAATCAAGTCCAAACCTGGATTACTTGCAACTCTCACATACAACTGATAACATAGTCAATTAACCCTTTCACTCCCATGAGTAACCAAGACAGAATTTCTCCTTACAATGTCCATACAATATCAACCGGATGAGTGTTGAGAATAAAGAAAAATATCAATTTTTGGATAACTAGTTGATCCAACACTAAATTCTCTGAACTAACATGATAAGAATTGCATGGCTGACAGAAAGGAGAATTAAAAATTTTATCTGGGAGTTAAAGTAGTATATCTCAAGGATAGGAAGATAGAATAGTGAATACTGGAAGGAGAGATTTTCTTACAACTTCCATCAAAGTCATCAGTGCAAATAACATAGTTGTCAAAGTCTCACAAATCTCTTTCACTCTGTACCTGTTGGTTGAATGCCAAGAAGCTTTCTTTGATCCAATGAAAGCACCACACTATTCTGTCCCAGAACAGGTCTCATATAATGATAGAGATCCACGATGAAACAGAAGGTGAACCAGATTGCCAAGCCACAAACTAAATATATAGGAATATTGGATCAATATCAGTATCTGGGCAACTGCCCACCTACCCCTCCCCTAACCAACATTAACCTAAACTTGTTGTCAATTGACTGTTGTTGAGTTAGGGGAGGGGTAGGTGGGCAGTTGTCCAGATACTGATATTGATCCAGAACATTTATGTTAACACTTTCCACCCTAACATCAGTATGATTTTATATTCTCCATAATGTTCTCTATACATTTCTTAAGAAGCTAACAAGGAGAATTTGTTTAACAATCAATTGACCTTCATGTTTGATTCAGGGGTGATATCGTAGGGATAAATTTGATGCTAGTCCCTCCATGGACTAGCATTTGACACTTCTGGACACTGACACCTTAAGTTGCACAAGAATTAGGCCTTAGATGTCTCCAAAAACTACAACTAGTCATACTGCTAACAAGACAACAGTGTGGACATTGGTTAAATTAATCAAGCTGGTTTCCTTAGTGTCATCATCAGTGATACCCAAGTTTAAATGCCACAGCCCCTCTGGATAACAGCCATGTGGTTGAATGGGCCACCCTACCTAAATTAAGTTTAGTTTACCTTTTAACAAACCAAGTATTAATCAATTATCTGAAGTCTTCTCTAACCTTTTCTGAAACATGTACAGTCTGATATTTAAACAAAATTTATGAAAATTCAGTCAAAGCCTTCACTTACCAACAAACCACACCAGAGGATGTTCAAATTCAAAATATTCTGCCACAGATCCAAAAACCCTGAAATTTTTGAAAATTTGAGATAATTTGTTAAAAGTATCTCCCAATATTGTATGCCTGAAATATACACTTATTTCCACAAAAACTCTGAATTCAAACACTCTATTTGTTTTTATTGTTGTTTTTTTTTAAACAAAATTTGGAAGGGAAAAACAATAACAAAGTAATGAGAATAAAGAAAAATATCAATTAGGGGATTATTGGCTAATCCAATATTAAATTCTCCAAAGTAACATCACATAAATTGTATGGCAGACAGTGAGGAGAATTTCTAATGAAATCTTGGGAGTTAGAGGGTTAAAAACCACCAAATGCAAAATGTATCTTAATCAGCACTGTTGTATCCAATTTTGAAGTATTTTTCTATTCCAGTTCCAAGCCCCCTCGGATATAAGTTGCTCCGTTTATACACCCTTCTAAAATCCCTTACGAGGTTCAAAGAAGGCCTAAGGCTTGCATACTGTAAGCGGCAGTTGGATATATAATTATGGTATTGTATGACAGCTCCATAAAAACGTTTCGCTCTTAAAGCAAACTACAAACCACATTAAAATAAATGGAAAGATTAAAGATAAGGGTAATATTTCCTTGTTTCATTAGACATATCTGTTAACTTACAACTCAGTGAAGAAAATTGCGGCCAAAATTACGTTGACAAACACCCACGTGAAGGCTGCATGAGAACGCTTTGTCATCTGCTTCCGCTGATACGAACGTTCAATAATCGGGCTTTCGCTCTTTAATATCCGTCTTTGCATTTTCTCACCTAATGCGTTGAAAAATATGACTCGATTCAAATAGGAAAAGTCGTTGTCACAAGCAGGGATTATGCCGCCATTATAAATTTTCATTAGGAGCGACACATTGATGGTTCGTACTTGACAAAAAGTACTCAGGTTCTGTATCCAGACTCCCTCAGATTAAGTATCTGGGAGAAAATTGGGAACTGGGGCTAACTTTTCTTGGGTTACTCGCGAATCTCCCGGATATACGGAAAAAAACAGATCGCATCACGTATCTTTCGGTCCCGGATAGTTCGCTCGATCTCCTTGATAAAAATGATTAATTTCTCTCCCTCAAAAATACGGGTAAGAATCAACTGGAGATGAGTCGTTGGCCTTCGTTGGCCAAGTTAGACATCGTGAAGCGCCCGACAATTTCATTCCTATTAAACAATGAAGATCCTGAATTGAGAGTACTGTCTTTATTTGACTAGCTTAGCAGGAAAGGAAAAGCAAGCTTTCTCTAAGGGGGCGGGGTTTCAAATTACTCGCAAGTTTAAGATGGAGATGTTACTTAAGAAAAATCTCGATCACTAAGAGCCCATTACTCCTGCGATCACCTATTGTCCATTGTGATTTCACTGATGTGTGAATAGATGATAGAGATTCATCACCTAGACCTTATCTCGCCCTCCTACACGCTGAGAAAGAACTGTTCAACTCGATGAAAGTTAGCCTCCCGTCAATGAATTGAACACACAAGGAAAGGCGGGGATTCTTGGGTAATTTCAAGAATTAACTTGGAAAGAAACAAGCAAGAAACAAAACAAGGGAGAAAGGAATCTAAAATAAATGCACTTGTGGTTCTATGCTTAAAAAAAGAAAGCCACAAAAGAAATAATTTGATTTTTTAAGTCTTTTTTAAAACATTTTGGCAAATGTCATCAAATGGCAATGTCCTAAATGAGGGCTGAGACTCATTTTACCTTCAACATCATGTAAAACTGTCAAACTGACCAATGTCAGAAGCAGCCTCAACGGAAAACCCAGAGGTAACTGGAATGTACAGAAAAATAATAAACAAGTGTTGCTTAGTAATTCTTTTATTTTCAACTCAAGAACAACCCTTGTGCAAGTGGTTGTTTCAATTGTTCTCAACAATACAATTTCTTTTCAAAGTCCACACTGTCCCACTCATGCAAACACACTGTCCGAGAATGCAAAGTAATGTGGACAACAAATGTTATCATAGAATAAAGCAGCAGAAAGGTTCTACAAAATGAAAAAAGGCTTTCATAATTGACTAGGAAACCTGTGATCTCCTATAAAGGGCCTAACAAGCCTTACCACTAACAGCTTTACCAACCTGGCCTTTTTGGACTTAATGCACCTTTCAATAAATAGAACTTTCTGCCCTGAGCCCATGCTATGTTTGCATTACCTGATCAGTCAGCAAAATGATAGTGACATGAATTCAGCACATCTGTTGAACTCCACTATTCACATTATTGAAAGATGCACTTAAGTTGATAGATATTATTACCTCTACAGCCTCAATAACCTGACACAACCCTAGCAGCAAGGTTTAAACATTACTATGTAAATGAGATCATAAGAATCCTATACAAAGTTCAGCCCATTTCATTTCCGTACATTTCTTCAAGTCTCTACTACAATGCATAAATGTCTGGAGCAAAAAATACCTAGGCATAAATGATCAAACACAGCTCAGTTTCTTCAACAACTTTTTGGTTGTTTAAGGCTTGGATGGACACACGATAGAATCCAGCAAAAGTTCCATCAGTACCAGTGACAGAACATCATGATTAGCTACAAGAAACTACAGCAGCACTCTGTGCCATAACTTTGGCCAATATTGTTGTTCTCAGCTTGCATATAGCAAATGTCCCTGGTTGATGCTGGCAGCTTTTAGTGCATAGTATAACTTGATAACTTGAAACACAAGTCCAAGGACAAAACATGTAACATTTTGGAAGGAGGTATATACGTAGATAAAGAAGCACTGGAGCAAATGTATTGTGATTTTCCACAAAAGTCTGGAATAACATTTCATCCTTTTCAACACATACTTAAACATATCATGATCTCCTCTTGTTCTGCCTTTCTAAGTACAATACAAAGCATCCTGGTAGGGCTGGCTCATCGTAGACATGGTCAAATGTTCTTGTACAAGGACATTTTTGAGGCTGGGCTCTCTTCTCTGATAACTTTCATGTTGGAGAGCAAGGTTAGCAAAACAATAAAGAAACATCCTCTAGGGATTTTTTCAGCAAATATTGCAAACTAAGTTTTCAACATGAAAAGCTACTTCCAATGTTTCTAATCATTGCTCAAAAGCTTAACTTAGACTAATGAGCTTGATGCTGATAACTCGTTAGCAACTTGAGCAATAATTGCTTCTTCAGCATCACTACTTCTTTCAACCCCGCAGGAAGTCAGCTGCACATGTTTCTCAAGAGACATGCATGTCTTGTATCTACATTGTGACTGATCAAAAAATCTGTACTAAAGGGGGTTTAATTTCTATCAACTACCAAATTAAAGACAACATATTTACATGTAACTATACACATGTGTATCAATGATAATTTGATTTTATGAACAATTAACAAAAATATCCCCAGTGGATTTTTTTAGTTAGTAAAAGTGGTTGGACTCTAAGCCACAGCAACCAAAAATACCAAAAGTAGAGATCAACCTTCTGTTTTAATTGTATTCTCATCAATTTGTGATAAAGGATAAAGATTTAATAACCAAGTCCTTCAAGTTTGTCCCAATGCAGATACAAAGAATGTGTCACAGCAAGTGCACAAAAAAAAAAAGGGGAAATTGTTTTACTTGTTTAAAGCTAACAGAGTTAACCCAGCAGCACAGATACTTCCCACAGTGAATAAGCTCTTCCACATGGTTTGTGACTGCGAAGAATCAGAGAAGTGAGCAACGAATCCATCCTGCAAAAAATAAGATATCTTAAATTAATACATTATTTCTGAAGTCAAATATATTCAAGCCAGATCTACAAATACACTAAAAAGTATTCAAAGTCCAAACATGCATCATCAATAAAAGAGACAACTTGCATGTACAAGTGAGCAACACTGTTTGATGAAAATATACATTCCCTTTCTTGTCAAATAGGTAACACACGAACACTAGTTATAATATCCACAATCACTCCTTAATGACTCGTGCATGGTAATAAAGCCAGCAGTTTTTGAGAAATCTATTAAGTTCTGGAGTAACAACCAAACCAAGTAAAAGGAACTCTCTCCCAGAGATCCCAAATTGGAATAACTGCAATTTTGTGTCAGTCAATGTTACCAGCTGCAAAGTTTGTTAAGGTGACCATACTGCAAGATCAATTATGGACCATCAAAGGAAGGTGACAACTCTATCATTGGGAAAACATATAAAAAAAGAATATAACTCCTTCCCAAGGACACTTATAACAACATTGGGAAAAGTAAAGGTGAAAGAAACAAAATATACCTGTACTAATAATTGAGTGTGATCCAATAAAAAAAATTGATTTTCAAAATAGAAATTAAAAAAGCATAGTATCTGGATATATTGTAAACACCTTGGAAAAAATTTCAAAAAGCTATTTTTAAGACATCATGTCTAGTGCTGATGTCAACAAGTCTGTCCAACAGCATGTACTACAAAGAGCTAATAGAAAAAAAACTGTAGTTAAAAGATGACTTTTGCTAGTCATTCTGATCATCTTTGACCAGCTGAGTTAAAGCTGATAACTATTAGTTGAGGATAAAGGAAAAAATTGAACAAAAATAAACGAGAGAACTTTCATCCAAAGGAAACACAAGATATTGGCATGATATCACAACCTCCCAAGACTTGCAAAATAAAGTGATAAATAAAATCATGAAACATATAAATTAACAAATTTTGTTCCAGCAAGATAATAAGGCAATGAATCTGGATTAGATATTATGCAATACTTAGATCAACTAAGCACAACAATGAACTAGAATTGTGAGCTAAAAAAAACAACAAGAAAAAAAAACTAATCTATTTGCCTATATCAAAATACTGAACTTAATGCCAGTGATATCTTCATAATTAAAAAAATGGTGAATTGGGGCAAGGCTAAAAAATAACAATTTTTACCGTTCTTAACTAAAAATAAACCTAAAAAGTAAAAGAACAACTCTCTCTATAGGGAAGACAAAGTAAATTTTGTCACTTGATATATACTTATGGTTCAATTTTGTTTTGTTCACGCCATAAGTTTTAAAGCTTTATTACATAATCGCAAATTAAGAATTTCAAATATCTTTACTTGAATTTTGGAGAGTGATCAAAGAGTAAAATCATAGGGCAATATAGTGATGCCACGGTTGACAAACGGAATTTTTTTTTAACACTTCAACCGAAAATTTGTCTTACATTAGACTTACAAATTAATTTTATTTCAAATAATCCCATCAAATCAAGATCCCAACCTGCCCACGAAAACAGAAACATTGTTTATGTCGAGAAAGTTGAAGAAAACATACTGAGGTGAAATAGTATCCCGCTGTTCGAGGGAAATTTTAATTTCGCTTGTTTACTTTAGTAAGGTCCTATAAATTTTGTCTAGGCAGAAAATTTCATGTAGAATTTGCATTAAAATACTACATGTCAGCAATTCGAGACACGAGAGTAAACGAGACATTGACAGAATAAATGAATGTCTCACTCATAATCAATGTAAATATAGACTGAAATTTGCATTCAGCAAATTACTACAAGGATGCAGCTGGTAGGCGAGATAAAGAGAAAAATATCAAAAAATAGTAAAAATAATATAAAATAAATAAAAAAAGGAGAATAAATTTGAAAAATTCAGAGTTACGACTTACCCAGCCTCCGTTTTCTCTAATCCATGTCAATAAGTTACGGGCAATAAAGGACACAGTCCATTCCACGATCTTCTGAACCATTTCTGGTCGTTGCGTTTCCACGAAATGGTGCGCCACGACTCCGCCGAACACATACAAAGCCACAATTCGGCCCCAATTCGTTTCTTCTTGGAAAATCTCTTGTGCTACACAGACGAACGTACGATATGCCGAGACTGGTGTTATATCTAACTTTTTACAAACTGATTCGAACAAATCAGGGTACTTTGCCTCCGTATCGGTTGCCAGTTTTCGTAGAGTACTCGTTAATACGTTGGTGGGCGATTGAGGAGGAATAAGGAAATGTCGAGGTAACCCTTGGAGTTTGCTCTGTTCAAGTTTGCTCCTTAACCGGTAGGAAATATAGTCCAGAGTCAGTGAACGAGCTATCTCGATGATATTTTTGTCACAACTTGACATTTCAGAAGTATTGGGCGTAAGAGAATGGTCCTCGTTGTTCAGCGCAGCTGTCGCTCCGGCCATCTTGAAATATCGTAGTTAAGAAAAGTGAAAGTAGTCGCACGCAAAGTGTTGCTTTGGCCCAGCAGTTTTTTTCGTTCTTCAAAGTAGTGCCAATCGAGGTAGATGTAATCTTCACACTAAAACAAGAAAAAGAAACATTAGACTAACCTCCGTAAGTGGTCGCGTATTTCAGCGCTGACGCACTACGTCCATGTAGTGAATCACAACCAACTGCTCCCGTACAAAAGAAAGAAAACTACCTCTCACAGAAGTCAGCCAATGTAAAAACACATCGTATTTTACTTGGAACAGCAATTGGTAAAGAAAAAGCAGAGAAGGGTAAGAAAGGAGAAGCAAGCCTTGGCGCAGAAGCACTAAAAAAACTATCACCATCAAACGAGCCCTGCAGTGGCAAAGAAGAGTAGCAAAAGAGGAATCTTCTCTGATGTACCGCGCGCGATTTGATTGGTCGATTTGAGGATCTAGTGATTTCTGATTGGCTATTTTCAACGACCTGTCGATTGCTTATCCGAGTCATCTTCCGACCATTTTCATCACCCAATGAGGTCATTCACGGATATACAACAGTAGAAATGACAATAGCGGGGAAATATATTTATTGTTCCCTACGCAATGATTGCCAATACCCAAAAAGTAAAAATAAATGCTTTCTTTGATAGCGTGAATTTCACAGACATGATCAACGAATAAGTGATTAGGATTGCCGATTGCTGAAAGACATTTACAAAGATCCGGCGAAGCGAAACGGGAACAGAAAAAACTGCTTACATCATCAAAAATAAACATGCACACTAAGGGATCTGACGATCATTTTCACTTTCGTAGTGAAAAAAAAATTTCTTCGCCCAATGTCGCGCAGTAGAGAAAACATTATCATTCATAATAAAACACGTCTTAAAATTGAAAAACATCGATCGAAATCAAGAAAACTCGGTCAAATTAATCACATTGGCGCAACGTTATGCAAATGTTGTTAAGAGGTGAGAGGGCTCCATTTATGAATTATTAATGACAATAGTCTTTGTTGAAGCTTGAAGGAAACGTGGTTTCGGTGTGCTCTTGTTTTGAAACTGGAACCGCAATTTCTTGCACGTGGACATCGGATTACACATTAAAAGAACAACTGTTATTGGTTGGGAAACAAAAGGCCCAACACACGCGTGAGCTATTGTTCTCAAAACAATTAAACAACTGACAACTTCCTGATGCCAACCAATCAAAAATCACAAAAATATTGCAACGTATATTATTTTGGCAAGACATCAAAAAATTGGTGAATATATTTATACGCAGTTAAATATTTTTTTTCGCGGGAACTTTTTTTAGCAGTACAGTGCAAGCGGCCAAGAAATTCGTTGAGAGAAGATCGGTCGTCCGAGCGATCGATCTTGCCATGAATTCTACCCATACTTGGGAAAGGTTTTAATACAATTCTGAAAGTAATTATCAGCGAGAGTGACCTTAATTCTAACCGTTTTTCTCTGCCGAGCAAGTTGGATTCGAGGTTGAAACTTCAAGCAACAAGTTGTTGGCTCGCGAAGCGAGCATTCAAGGATCATTGTCTATCGTTTTGGTAAGTTGCATCAGAAAAATTTACTCTAATCAAAATACAGAATTTCGACCCTATTTTTCCAGGTCTCATCCAAGATATCGATATCCATAAACAAGCCATCTGCTTTCGAAGTTTTTTATTTTGATATCCCGAATAGGAAATGAGTCTAGCGGGTCTTTCTTTACAGCCAAAATGTATATATACAAACAAGAGCAGTCGCTGTGATATGCTGGGGTGCGATGGACCTAGAAGCCGTTAATTTCAATTTCATTTGCTAACACCCCACAAAAGAACACAGTCAGGCTAATGATCATTCACCTCTCGACTAAAATAATTTCGAACTCGACCTGTCTGACAATATTTATGCCATCTGTTCTCAGATCGTTCTGGGGGCTTCTATCAGCGTTGCTCATGGATCGAAGCAAACCTGGATTAGTTCGCACAAAGTCTCAAGACAACGAAGTTTGTGCTTCATGTGAGTTGAGCTCGGAGGATAAAGAGTTGTGCAAAGTGATTGGAAGGATCTTGGCAAGAATTGGAGACAGAATGAACTCTTCAGAGATGCTATCAAACGGGCATAGCCTTCAAGCGAACTGTCGCAATGGACATCGTTTGAATGATGATACGAGACCACGGCCTGGAGTAAATAAACTTCCGTAAACACCGGAAAAATTTTATCGATCAATTACTTTTGAAAGTTGTATTTCTACGCCAAAATAATTGTACATATTGTATGCAGATTCACTATGTTAGATGTACTGCTGATACATACATGAGAGAATCATATAGAACCGCTAGCTTTGTAATTTGCGACGCCGACTTTGATCGTTAGAGTAACTGTTTTAACGAAAAAACTCAATCTTCGAGCAGGCTGTAAATATTTTTTTGACAAAAGCAGAACGAAATAAATAAAATCAGCTGATGAATGGCAATATTTTGGTACTTAGTAACCATGGTAGCCTATTGTTCTCGTTTCGCCAAGAATTTTCACACAATGGCGTTTAAACACCGAAAACAACAGTGACACAGCACAATCGTTCTTTGTATGTTGAGCAATGAATGAATCATTGTTTAAAAGGCAAAAACCATCCCGCCTGTACAGTTTGCACGATTGGTTTCTTGCCAGCGGAACAAGCGGGTGTTAGCAGCCTAATGAGCGCACAATTTTCGGATGTGTGAATGCCTTGAAACGAAGGAAGCCCTAAAAAATCTGAAAAGGCCAAGGTTACTTGAAGCCGCCCTCCGTCACATGTACTTGACGTTATTTTTGCGACTTTTTCTGAGCATTTGCTTTCATTGCACTGTGAGGGATTTGATAATAATGTTTTGGCTGCCCTTAGACAAGGCAATCTTTGTTTTCGCATTTTCGACTGATTCGCGAAAGGTGATAAAACTAGTTTACAGAGTGGACCCAGGATAGGACCTGACTTGAAACTTCCTTCGCTGTAGGGGGGGAAGTTTTCCCTCTATTTTGGTGTGATTTTCGCTGATTATGAAATGTTACAACAGCGTTTTTCATCTCCAAAATTTTCAAGTCATCACTTTAAAGATTTCTTGAGATAATATCTCGCTTTAAAACAGGATTTGTTCCATCAATATTTTGGTTATTACGTAACAGTGGGATAAAGCTTAGCTAACCAAGGCCGTCAAATTTTTTTTCTGATCACAATTTTTAATAAAAAACTTATCTCGTGATGTTATTTAACACGAAAAATCTAATATCACGGGAAAGTCTTCGGCCGCATATGTTGCAAGATTTTTTTTTCACACACACTTTGACCCGTGACTAGGACTCGGTCAAAGTATTGAAAATCCATTCGATATTTTTTCTTGTAAACACCCACACAAAATAGAAATTTGTTCTTCGTAATTTCGTGTTTTCTTGGGATAAAAGAAATTAGACGAAAAAAAATTATCTGGTTGCAAAAGAATATCACCATCGTGTCACTGTGATGATAGGGGACCATGATAGCAATACGATATATATGTATGTGTATATATATTTTATACAATATGGCTTCTGTATATCTAAATACACTGTAAACATGCCAGGTAAACACTTACAAAGCCACTCAAAATGCGTGTTTATGTTCGTCTGACATGCGCGATGAGTGGGCGTCATATAGCGGGCGAGCAAAGAGTCTGAGCACAACTGTGACAAGGCGACAAATTTTTTGCCTTGGAAGACTAAATACTTAAATTTGTTTGAAAATTCTAGTAAATGACAGATTCTGGATTATAATTTGGAGGTGAATGATGAAAATAAAAACCATGGTAGAAGTTTGGTAATGCGTCGATCGCTATAATTGTCTGAAAAATCGATTAATTCGCTTAATTTATCCGTCTCGCCTTGATCAATAAGTGTTTTTTTATGGTATAATTTTGTTTATTTGCTTTCATCATAATTATTTTTCCACACAGGTTTAGTTGGCCTACAAAAAGTCGCGGTTTTGCACTAACCTATTGGCCAAATGATGAATGTCTTCTACTCTAGATTTCATTTCATTTTTAACCTTTAAAAATTTTGGGTGCCAGGTTGCTGCCACGTGTTTCAGCATCCATGCACACGTGGTTAAGTGCATGATATGTGACATATCGAAGGTACGCGTCAAAATCTCGTCAAATTAAGTCTATCTGTCAATTTGCAATAATTATTAGGAACAATCGCCGTGTGAAAACAAAATCTTTAACTTTAATTTTTTTGTCTGCGTTATTTCAGTGCCTGACTGAAAAATTATGAGGTTATAGATGTGTCGGTAACTTTTCTCATAATCGGCTGCCGATGATACTGTGCCAGGGAAAGATGAGAGCCTGCTCGCCTTCTACACAGACGGCGGTTGGGAGGTTTTATAGATGGCGGTAAGCGGCCTTTATCAAAACCCCCTGGGGTTGATCACACTGAATGACTTTTTAGTGACAAGATCATTTAGCCATCGATTCCTTTTAGGTTAATCAACCCGACGAAATTTTAGTAAATAATTGATTTCCATGTTTGATTTGCATAATGTTGAGAATAAATTTAATTTCCAACTCTGCGCGACATGAAATTCCTTTTTAGATCGAATCTTAAGCGGCATGATTCAACCGAGCATAATCTCATAATAGCAATCAGGTCTTCCCAGAGATATGATGGTAAATTTTACGGATCAAGCAGAGCTTATACAGTTATGAAAAATTTTCTATCCCCGCCCGATACTTTGCCTGTTACGTAACAGAGCCGAATATCGAAGTTTATTGCTGACCCGAACGCTGAAATGCTCGATCATCAATTATACTCTGATCTTCTGAAAAATTTAGATTAGATGTTGTTGTGACCGGCCATGATAAAAGGAAAATCGCGGAAATCGAGTGTCTGATTGATGACGATATGTTGTGAGTACTGTTTCGTACATGCCTACACTTCATCCACCATTGGCGAGGCAGTTGTTATTAAAAGGAACTAAACTTCGCAGAAAAATTATTTCAGAAATAATGATCTGTATTATAAACTGTTAGTCTTAGAACTGGCACAACTGGCTTTAATTTTTCATTAGAGTAGTTTCCGATGACACTATCCTAAAAACCATATTATAACAAAAAGAAACTGAAAACAGTGGACATGTCTCTTTGTAACAAAATAATTATGTGTAATGACGCTGACGTTGATCAAAGAATTATATCTAGCAAGGTATATATTTTGCGTGGTTAATTTTTGCGAAAATCGCGAAAACTATTTCTCGGGAAAGTAAGAGACTACACAAGGCATATGCCCGATGAGTTCCCTGTAGCTCAGTACCGACAGAAATACATCAGAGCGCAAAATCCGAGTGTCTGAGTTTACTATCCTCGATAAGAGATCGGATTTTTATGTTT